AAAAAATTTCAAAATTATACATGCGTGTGTATGTATTCCAAATTATACAAAAACATGTGTTGTGTCCAAAAACAACGTGTCCAATTGAACGGTGCGCAAATGAAATGTGTCCAAACGAATTGTGCGCAAGTGAAATGTGTCCTATCGAACGGTGCGCAACTTTATGTGTCTAATATCACAGTGTGCAATTGCAACGTGTCTAATTGTACTGTGCGCAAGTGAGCCTCTCCCGTTCAATAGCTGTTCAATAGCTGTCCGATAGCCGTTCAAAAGCCGTTCGATAGCTGTTCAAAGCTGTTCGATAGCCGTTCGATAGCTGTTCAAAGCTGTTCGATAGCTGTTCGATAGTGGTTTACATATTATAATAATACATTCATATTTAAAAGACTTTAACTATAGATAGTTGTCTGCGGAAACATGCTAACTTTTGTCTTCTTATCAAGTGCAGAAGGTAAGCGTTCTTTGTAGGTGATATTTCTCCTACTCTAAAATGTTTAATTGAGACGATGTCTATCCCGTTGTGTCCGTCATAAAGTGTCTGACAGTCTAACAATTTAAAGTGTGTAAAGCGTGAGCGAAAATTTAAAAAATGCCATCGTTGATCGGGTTGGTGTTGTGTCGAGGCAAATGGAATGCGTCATAGTGGGCACAGGATTTAGTAATGAGGCTGTTGAGAGCTCTATTAAATCTAGTAGTTTTTCAAAAAGTAAATAATATTTGTGTATGTTTTATGTTATATTAATTACACTGGTCGGCAAAATAAGAACTTTTTTTTTGCCTTAAGTTTTACCAAGTCATTTCTATTAGATTTTTTAGCGCTGATTACGAATCTGGCTGTAAAAATAGCGTATCACATTAAGTTTTTGAGAAAATCTTCGTCAAAGTTGCTAAAATAAGCGTTTTTGATACTTTGGCGTGAGTTATATCTTTTAATGGAGACGTGTTACAGACGGCAGCGACAGCTCAAAATAAAGCTCAAGACTTATACTTTATGATAAAAATGCCAGAAGTCCCAGGCAGGATAGGTTTTCTTGAAAAAAAATGGTTGAAACATAAGAAACATTTATCGCAGTGTCCTCCAGTCATACGTTTCCAATTGTCCGTTATTAAAATTTTTTAATATCATTCTAATCATAAAAGTCGGTATGTATACATTTGCCTGAACACCCAGTACGAATTACATGTTAAAATTTTAAAATTAAAAATGGAAGATCCAAAATGGCGGATCAAATTTTTGAAAAATCATTAAAATCATGAGTATGTGTAGATTTTTGTGGTTGCTATCAGTTAAGAACGAAATTAGAGGAGTTTTTTGTTATTTCAGTTACTAAAAAAATTTAGTAACGGACAATTGAAGACGTATGACTGGAAAACATTGCAATAGATATTTCTTATGTTTCGACCACTTTTTTTCAGGAAAATCTTTTCTGCCTGGGACCTCTGGCATTTTTATCATCAAGTATAAGTCTTGAGCTTTATTATGAGCTGCCGCTGTCGTCTGTAGCACGTTCCCATCGAAAAATACAATTCACGCAAAAATATCAAAAACGCCTATTTTAGCAACTTTGACTGAAGTTTTCTCAAAAACTTGACGTGATACCCCATTTTTACAGCCAGATTCGTAATTAGCGCTAAATAATTTATCAGAAATGACCTGGTAGAACTTAAGGCAAATTTGGTGTTGAACAGTTATTTATAATATATATTATAATTTAATTTGATTTATAGTATCAATACACAAGTGATATTAAGATTCCTGGTTTTATGAACTTTGAACACCGGCGGACGATTCGGATGTTGCGACGGAACGCGTGAGACGAACTGAAAGAATTATGGGGAGATACTGTGGAGGCTCGAGAGCAGTGATGCCAGAATTGAGACGCGAGCAACATGCAACCGAGGTGGAGGGGATAACACACACAAGCGCAAACCGCGTACGTGTGAGCTCGGTGCTTCGGCTAGCTTCGGATAGCAGAAGAGGACAGATATACTGAAAAAAATATAATATAATTATTTAGAAAATAAAAAAAATATTAAATATATTTTTCTTATCAAAAACAATATCTAGATTATTAAAAAATATTATTTAAATGAAAAGAAATTATACAAAGATAAAAAATGAATATTGTTAGAACAAATCAAATAATTTTTGTTAATAATATACTGAAAGAATAAAAATATATATATTATGCCAGCACTTTTATATATTTAAATAAAAAAATATGCATTAATTAAAGCAGTATTGTTTTAATGTAATAATGTATTTTCTTATAACCCTGGTATAAATATATAGTATCAAAAGGCTATAGATATATTTTTAAATTGGAGAAATAATATTTGCAATTGTAAATATATTTACAAAGCATTTGGATTTAACTCAATAAAATAAATAATAAATTTTGGAAATAGTTACAAATTTCATTTATACAACTCGACATATATAATTTATATGAGAATTAAACTCCTACTTTTTGTGCTTCAAACAAACAGTTTACAAATATTTATCGTGCTCAATTCAATCAGTTTAATATTCTGAATCTTGTGTTGGGCTTATATCAGATATAATCAGAAATTAAACTGATTGAACACTACTACGCTTTAAATCTTATATTACTAGACAAACCTTGCAGACTTTATATCCATTTGTAAGAATGCGAGAAAATACATCATCTAACGAAGAAATTAGTAAATCGCTCACATATTTAAATGAAATAAATTGATTTTTAATAACAAAGAATCTAATTGTCTAAAATACATATTTGATTAAATATTATATATTGATTAGTATTATGTATTTAGGATGGCTTTACATAATGAATGGTGCTTTTCCACACCACCCATGGGGTATCACCAATGGCGCGTTCGGTTTTTTTAAGTGGACCTTCGCCTGGAACCCTATTATACCACTGTATGTTATATATTAGGCAAGAAAGATATGATATGGATAGGAAATGATAAAAATGTGGGGTAAAAATAATTAATCCCAGAATTATTTATATTTATTTTTTATTATTTCAAAGTTTATTATTTTTTAATATTTCATATAAAAGTTTTTTATAATGGTGGGGCCACTGCGGCCTCTGCCTGTGCCTCTTCTGCGGCCGCGGCCGCCTCCAGGGCCGCCTCTACCGGCCCGGCCGCCACGTACGACCCATCCTCTGCCCCCTCGCTGGTTGTACCAGCGAGCTCGCGATTTACCGCTACCTCTTTTTTTTTCTTTGTCTGAAAAATAAACATGTACATTGATAAATAATAAATAAATTACAATAATCATGCATATAAATTGATAAGTTAATAAAAAATAATTTACCATTTTTATTATTTTGCGGTGGCTGCTGTTGCGGCTGTTGCGGCTGTGGCTGCTGCTCCTGCATTTGCTGCTGCTGCAGCAAATATTGCAGCTGTTGCTGCAGTTGTTGCTGCATTTCAGCTTGCATTTTTTGTTGATGCAACAATTGTTGCATCAACTGCTGCATGCTGGCTCCTTCGTTTTGCAGCACGAATTGCCGCATTTCTTCATTAATTTCTTCTGCAAAATATAAAATATGTAAATAAAACTTCGATAAATAGATTATTATGTATAATTACAAAGAAGAAAGAAACTGAAACTTTTATAACAGATACAAATAATAATAATTTAATTTACTACTTACGAGACATGATACGTTTTATCGCAGCGATGTTCCTCAGTGAACTGAAGCACTCGGCACTTTTTCATTTGTTTCGTACGCCGTGCATTTGTTTCATATGCTGTCTGTTGTTTCACGGCGCTTCTGTGAGATAATCTTGTTGCCTTGTACTCTTGTACTTGCGAGTCAACGTATTTTTTGATACGTGTTTTGTGAAATTTTGATATCTAAGAAGCTGAATCAATTCTGATTGTGAGTCCCTATTGTTTATTGTTTATCTTTTATTTTACTCATTCTTCTTTAATTCTTTGTTTCTGCCTATCTTTTGCTGTATATAAAAATGTGTGATGAATTAAGAAAAAAATCTAAGCGAAGCTTTTCAGAAGCTTGGCTTAGTGATGATAGAATAAAATCTTGGATACGTAAAGTATCTTCTGATGATAGTTTTTATCATTGCATTATATGTAATAAAAATATTTATTTAAAACATGTGCAACACACATGTTTTAAGACATGCGGATTCTGCGTGCCACAAAAATAATATGAAAGAAAGTACATCATTATTATTAAATGCTGACAATAAGAGTTTAAATAAAAAATTAACAGAAAAACAGAAATTTAAACAACAATGGCTAGAGATCGAATTATTTAAGCCATGGCTACGCGAAGTGTCACATGACAAAAATTCGTTTTTTTGCTCATTTTGTGATAAATCTATGGTTGGTGGTTTATCACAAATTTATCGTCACGCAGAATCAATAGCACACATAGAAATATGTAAAAATAATAAAACAGAAACAAAGAATACGGACGAAAGTATCAACATGACGGACGAATCACTTTTGTCATTTGAAGAGCGAAAGAAATCAGCAGAAATTCGATATGCCGCGTTAATTGCTGATAAGAATATTTCGCATCAAACGGCAAAAGAAATTCTTACTTTTTTCCAAGAAGTAGGAAAAGATCCTAATGTATTGAAAAGTATGAGCATGGGTCGAACAAAATGTAAAAGTATAATTTCAAATGTATTGTGTCCGGTTGAGACGGCCCGTGTGGTTAACAGCATTCAAAATACGAAATTTACAATTTTTATTGACGAAACGTCTGATATTAGTAATGAAAAATGGATGACGTTTCTTGTTCGATATGTTGATCCTGAAACATTAGATATTCGCACGCAATTAGTTAAATTAATTAATATTGATGCGAGAAATAGCAGCGCGGAAAAATTATTTAATGCATTCAAATGTGAAATGTGAAAATTAAACATTCCATTTTTAAATATCGTTGCCCTATCATGCGACAATGCGTCTGTCATGGTAGGAAAACATCTATCGTTAAAAAAAAAGTTAGAAGAAGTTTGTAAAAATTTATTAACATTTTCATGTCCATGCCATTCCGCTGCATTGGCTGCACATGCTGCATGTGCAAAAATACCGGAATATTGTGAAGAATTTTTAAAAAAGATGGCGAATTATATTAACAGTAGTCCCAAGCGTGCTGCTATTTATCAAGATTTTAGAGAATGTTTTCAGGAAACAAATCATAAAATTTTAAAGTTGTCTGATACACGGTGGCTCTCTCGCCATTCATGTGTTGAAAGACATCTTGAGTTGTGGGATACTACCAAGCTTTTTTTGACCGAAATGGTCGTAAGTGAAAAATCAAACTCAGGAGAAAAATTATTATCTATAATGCAAAATCTTGATGTAAAAGCATATTTGCTATTTTTAAAACATATTTTGAATTTTTTTAATTCTTTCAATGCATTTTTCCAAGCTCTGGAAACAAGAATTCATTTATTGCAGCCAAAATCTGTAGAGCTTTTAATAACAGTTTGTAAACACTTTTTGAAACCAGAGCTTCTAAAATATGTATGTAATGATGATTTTAAATTTTCTGAAAAAGAAAACCAAAAATCTTTAAATAATATAAATGTAGGATTTGAATGTGAAGAATATCTCGAGAGTTTAATGAAAGAAGGACACGCAGACATAATTGGAAATGTTCGAGATAATTGTCTGCAATTTTACGTGACTGCTGCCGAGGAGATTAGTAAAAGACTGCCCATTAAAGATAAATTTTTATATAAACTAAAGGTTTATAAATAAAACGCAGCATTATGTAGCTTCGATAGA